CATTGCATTGCGAGAAATCTCACCTTGGGCACTTTGTGGAAGCTACCATCAAAAGTGGAAGCCTTCGCATGTCCCATGTCATTCATGTCGTTGAAAAACACTTTAGCATGTGGAAATCGACTTCGCAGGTAGTCTTGCTTTCTCCGATCCTTCTCCACAACGAAGCTCAACTCCACCTGCAGGTATGAGTTCTAGCAAGAATATGGTTCATTGAGTGTTGCTGCTAGTTTTTGCTGTTTCTACACCGTTCACAATTGGTATGTGTCGTATTGTTTGGTTTTGGTTCTTTGAGGCTTTATGTCGTCCACAGACATGTGTTTGGATCACAAACCGCACCTCTAGCAGCAAGTTGTCTTCTAGAACGCACTCTTGGTTCCAAGCTGGTCGGAAGGTCTCCATGACCATTTCCAAGACACCCCACCCAGAACAGATGCTACCAATACGCAGCCGGTCAATGCCCCGACAAGTTGCAGCTAGCTGACCCCGAAGATTTGCAAAGCGTTCTTCCTTGAGGAAGTTGTAGATGAAAGCACGAATCTCAGACACAACACAGGGTAAATGCTCAGAAGACATACATCTGCTCAAGTGGCCTTCAAAACTCTACAGCAGTACATGTGAGTGAGAAGTAGCTTTACATGCGCATGCTCCAGAAGAAGCTGTAGGTTAGAGAAAAAATTAACCAAGAAACGCTTGGGGATGTGAAAGGCAAAGAAGGCAGCTTAGAACCCCTTGATGAGTCCTCAACCTCGGCGTCCGAAGCTAAAAGTACTTCTCCTTCTTCCCCACATTCTCCAGTTGTACCTGTGTTTGCCATGGAGAAACAACTACATAGAGCTGGTATTTGTGGTGATCCGTGAGAATTTATGGTCAACAATAGAATTCGGTTTAAATGTGGCAGCAAGGCAATCCTTGTGACCCAACTGAGCTTAGTGTAAACCATGAAGGAAAATACATGAAGCTACTGGCAGGCCTGCAATGGGCTCCTCATCCGAACTGAAGAAAATGTCTCCATCCTCGACCTTTGGGATGCCATCATCAGCAGCTGCACTCCTGTGGAGCAAACAAAACAACTTGAATAGAAAGACAAAACACTGGCATGTTTCCTAAAAGTCGCACAGCGTCCTAATGTCTTTTGCAACCCCTCTTAAAATTAGAGAAACATCTTCCCCTAGTGACAGAGACAGAACCAGTGAATAGCCTCTGAGCTGTGGTGCACATCAACGCTTTGGAGAATCTGTCGGACGAGCACTCTGAAAATGCATGTAGCATCTTTTCGCAAACCTTGTGGCAATCAGTAGGCTAAGCCTAAAGGTCCCTTAAGGCTAGTGGCAAGTCCACCTCATCTTCATCAGAATCCGACGTCAAATTACCATCTGCTGGACCAATTGTCACATCAAAATTCCTGCGACGGGCAGGTGTCATCCATGTGCCTGGATGTCTGGCTTCTGCTTGCAGTTCTCGAATGTACCTGTAACTCAGGATAGGGTATGACTCTGGCTTTGGAAAGCACGGCAATGTGCCGTTGACCCACTTCAATAGGTACTGTCCGGAGTCCTTGGACAGAGTGCCCTTGTTCAAACTCCGAGTGGCGTATCTGTTGATATTTGATCTCACACCATCAGAAATCCTCCTTCGCTCAGCCAAGCCAGCCGGACTACTGCACCCAACACGAATTTGTTGGGCTGTTGAAGCGGACATGACGCAGATCACTCTTGCAATTTCAGTGTCGGCTAGCCACTGTTTTGTGACTAAGAATATGTCTTCTCCATTGCGATCTGCTGGCGGGACACCTCGAAGTTCCTCTATTTCTGCCACGTTATCCAAAATGTCAGACCCCATGTCCCTTCTTTGGCAATAACGAAGAAAATGCACTCGCCGCATTCCCTTGAGCACAACACCGGTTTGAGCAACAAAGGTCTTCCAGCTTGTCACCTCGTCAAGTTTGTAGGCCTCGCAGCTTGATCCACGCAATGTAGAATCTGAGCTGCATGAAGTACCACTTCTCTTCGTGGCTTTGTTCAAGAAGTCCACCATGTCATTGGCTGTGGCGATGGCCTTTCCTTGAAGAATTCGAGCAATCTGCCCAAAAATTTGGTCCACGTCTTCATGGGAATGAGAAGTACGCAAAAATCCTTGGCTTGTTGATCTAAAAACTTTACATGCCACTAGCATCAACATAAACGCTGCCACGAACTGGTTCTTCGCTTCGCGAAAGCAGTTATCACTCTGACAGTGAAAATATAGCGGCAGCTGGGAGGTTGAAGCAAGCAAATTGGATAGAGATCTCGCAAGCTGCTCTATTTGGCTCTCTGAATTCTTCTTGACATTCTCATCGGTAATGCTCAGGGCTAAGTGTGCTCCGTGGAACCAGCTGGCGCTCAAATGAAGCGCTGGGCGATAGAGTGCCTCCAGGGTCTTTGGAAGTCTCACATATCCCCACTTGGGTACACGCAGTTTCGACTGGTCCATGCCATCCTGAATGGCACACAAGACGCTGGATGACAGCTCCAGAGATTTCATTTTTGTTGCTCCAGTCAAAAGCAACTGCGCAAAATATTGCCTGCTAAGCTCCCGCATCCGCCAGTAAAACTGGCGGTCCCGCCATTGGCTCAACAAATGGGAACTGTAGGCTTTCGTCCAATGATCCTTTTCTGATCGGGTGCTTGCTTTTCTGAGTTTTGTTTTCATGCGGTAGCACACTTCACACTGCCCAAACTCTGCTTTGTCCCTAAACTTCAGGTGTGTGGAAAATATCTGGTTGAATATTCTCATGAACGTTGCAAATGATGCTGCTTCTTGGCCATCAGCATCTGAAAATGCAGAGTATTGTATATACAAATCAATCGGCTCGGAATGTTCTAAATATCTCCTCGGTCCTGCGAACGTACCTGGGCCGATTTGACCTGGATGGCTCAACTGAAAATTCCGCTCCAGGTTCTGCAAAAAAGCAGAACAATATCGTTCTTGGAAATCAGAATCTTTCGCCATAGCTTCCATGTGCCACGAATTGGGCATCACCAATTTTGTTGGTAATACCTCCGCTGCACTGATGTAAAGCAACCAAAAGAACTTGAGCACATGCGGCCACTTTGCATTGTCAGACTTTCTGCGCAAAGAGACCTTCAACAACTCATGCTTTGGTTCTGGCAGCCGTTGATCATGCATTGTGTAAGCAGGCAGGCCCTGACGGAGGTTCTGCAAAGCTGCGGATCCAATGGCGTACAGCTTTTGATGTGCCCTGCTGCACACCGATCGGCCAAGGAACTGCAGAGTTGATGATGCTTTCCTGTCAGTATACCTCCTACGCTTGGGTGCAGGCTGAGCTTGCTCGGCATCATCCTCAGAAGACTGCAACAGCATGTGACCCTCGGGCTCTTCTGCATCTCCACCAGATTCATCAGTGGAAAAAAGCACATCTCCCTCTTGAGGAATCGTTTCCTCATCGCTTTCAACGAGCAGCTGATTTGCTGCCACATCAGGCCCCTCTGGAAACTCTGGTACAGGAATGTTGTACCACGATCTGATAGCATTTTCCTAAGCTCCAACTTCTTGTGTTGGCCAACTTCTGAGAACAAGAAAACTGAAACAGATGTGTTCGATAGGAACATTTGAAGAATATAGTGAGGACATGGTACAAACCTTAACGCTCATCCGGTTCCTGTGATTACTATTTTTTGCTCGCAAGTTGAACACCTGATGCTACACAACATAATGAGACAGGAGCCAGAAGCAAACAATAGCTTGCTGTAGAGGAAGCCAAGGATCCTTGAGTGATTCTTTCATTTCATGAAACCTGGCTCTCTCAGCCAGAACATGTTCAGCACTCTCTTGAAACTGGGTGAAGCATGAACGTCTTCCACAAAGGCACTGCTGCAAAAGCAAGTCGTTCAAGTTCGAGCGGGCCGGCATTGCACACAGTAGGAAAAAACAGGAGACCAGGGATGCTGAGTAAAATTTGTGAATGAAAAACTATGGAGTGCACACAAGCCTGGAAAAAGTCATTCTGCAGGCATGTATTTTGTCCTTTGTGTCTACAGGCACATTTGCCTCAGATTTAAACAGGAATGTTCCTGAACCATAAAGCGGCATTGCAATCGTTGCAAACGTGAATCTTTCTCTCCACAATGTCTCTTTCCCTCCCTTCCCATTGGCTCCTGGTGGCCGGCCGCTTTGAGGCAGCTGGTCGTCGTTGGCAGGCCGGACGCTTCATGGTGCCAAGAGAAATCAAGCAAGCCACTTGATGGAAACAAAACGTTTGAGCCTTTGAATGGCACCATGACTGGCACCATGATATCTGCACTTCGCCCAGCAAAGAAACCCAATCTTCTATATCCAACAAACCAGCAAACACAGCATCCACAAATAGACCCAGACCACTTCACATCCCAAAACACCAAGGAACATGAAAACACTAACTTTTTTGATAATCCCTTAATAACAATCCGCCACTTTTTAAAGTTGCACCCGGGTTGCGGGGATTTGCGCCCGGGTTGCGGGAATTTGCGCCCAAGTTGCAGGCACCCTTTTTGGAAAAATTGCTGTAAAGCACGCCCAGAAGGTTAGAACCAAGCCTTTGTGGTTTCATTTGCACATACTACTAGTAGGAGAGGTCATATAGGATTTCCACCCGGTCCATAGGGCCCCCAAAGGCCCACAAGGGTTGATAAGGACACTGGTCAGGAACCAGTAGGCTTTAGAATTTACATCACCAAAAAGCGCTCATATGTCCTGAAAAGTGTACATACCCTCAATTAACGCTCAAACTTCCAATAAGTGCTCAAAACCATGGTTCGCCAGAAATAAGTGCTAAGAAGGATGCTTCAGGTATATACATTATTCAGTTGAGGACGTGCCATGCATGTTCGACCTTTCATCCTGTATAACCCGCGCGGTTCATCCGCGCGGTTGTCCCCGGCCCACGCGGTTCACGGCGGAACGGAGGCAGGGTCCTCCAGGCACTCGGTGTGACGCCTGCGCCGCACCGGGCAGCCCCATCCGAGGATGTTCAAGCTGCCAGATTGGAAGCTTCGATCCAGCTGCTTGGGTGGTTGTTGATGTTTGCTTCATTGTGCTTCGACTCCTCTTGTTGGCCCTTCCCGAATCCACTCTTTATCAAATGGTTTATCCCCCTCCTCCAGTTCGCCAAGTGAAAGATCCCAAAACGACTGAACAGGGTGGCACTGGATCTGAGGGTTTGGATTCCGCTGAACCAACTGACCCGGCTGTGTTTAGCGGCAAGAATGACTGATAGATGTGAAAGCAACATAAACCAACTACACGATTTGGTTGGCGTTCAAGAGTCCATTGCGGTCCACTTGGTTCGAAAAAAGGATGCACGGATCCGGTGACAGGTCGCGCTTCGACGCTTCGAACTCGTCGCTTCGCATGGACCTTCCGGCCATGTTGCCCCGCTGGGACGCCTCGACGGGTCGAGGCTTTTGGCTTGCGACGATCTTGCTGACGGCGACGTCTCAAGGCGACGAAGTCGAGTAGAAACGTGGGATCGACGTGTGCGTCATGGCCTCCACCCTGGACGGCTTCCAACCTACTAGACCCTGTGGTGCACCACAAACGGTAGAAACAAGTAGAAACAAGGTACACCCCTACAGTAGACAGTAGACACCTCAGTTGATGCACGTGGTAGGCGTTTGGTCGAAGCTCAGGACACCGAAAAAGCACCACAATCGGCACAGTTCAATTCCACAACAAAAATCGACAACCCCTTTCTCATCTCTTTGCTGATGTTTGCGCACCACCTCCCTGTTCACTACTGTGCAATTTGACGGCATTTGCTCAGAGGAGCATAGAGACCGGCCTATATTGTAGGGGTAAAAAATGCAACGAATACCATGATGCCACACGAACAAAAACAAACTACCTTAGATCCGTAACGAGGTTGAGAAAATTGAGGATTTTGATGAGAGAGTGCAATAAGAGGTCGGCAATTGTTTTGCTGTGTGAGTTGCCAGTCATCTACCCTGACAAGCAAGGCAAGTCCGTAGGGAGATCATCGAGTTGAAGAGAATGCCGGGGCACTACTGGCATGCTCTTTCAGAACTCCTCATCGTCGCAACGTTGTCAGTTCGACAGGCGTTGGCCATCCGGTTGTGCGTTCATCCGTTTTCTTGCTGCAAAACTTCCCCCGCGGCAGATGTGTTGCGCTTGGTCTTCAGCGTTTCGGTCGCCATTTTCGCCTCCCCGGTGATTTTGGACTTTCGCCTGCCCAGCTGGCCGGGGTTCCTTGGATTTTTGGAAGATAAGTGTCGGCTGGTCAGATGAGTGTGGACATGGACGGTGAAGGGAGTTATTTGGTGGACTTTTTTTGTGGATGGATGAGCCTTTGGTTTGTTCGGTGGTGGACTGCTTAGACTGCTTAGTCACTGGGGTAGTTGGAGGCCAGGGTGAGGCTAGCGGACGGGCTAGACGATATAGACTCCTCAAAACTTGCATATATTCTATATGTAATGATAATATAGTAGGTATACATATAATATCATACTTTCTAGTTGTATATACATTCTCCCCCCTTTGAGCACTTGGAAACCCGGGGCGGACTAAAACTTTGGTGCTCTTGGGCCTGGGCATGCAGCCCCTGAGGTTCCTGCCCTTCATGGAGAAAGGCTTCAAGGACTTCACGGCCAGGTGTGAGTTGAAAGGCCTGGAGAACATCACCAAGCAGGACAGACGCACAAAAAAAGCGCCGCCACGACTTCCATTTGCTTACCTTCGAAGAGATGAGAAAAGATCGCCAGGCTCATAATTAGCCGGTTTGATTTGTCCAATTTACCGGCAGTGCAGCTGCAGTGCAGCTGCACGACCATTTTCAGCTCCACCCTCCCAAGCTGGTGATATCCCCCGCCCCCACCCTCCGGGGGACTATTTACATCCATTTACTACATAAAGACAGAGGTATCTATTAGGTCATCGCTTTTCAACGGGCTATGACACCAGCTGGGTGGTCTATTTTCAGATATGCTCATCTTCAACTCCAGTTTGAAATCAGAGTAGATGGCACATGATGGCACCAAACCCAAAGATGTATTTGATATGGAATTCCATATGCAAGCCACTCACCATTTCCCTTTCGTCCACCACCCAGACCCAGGGCCCGGCTGACCCGGCTTCCATAAAGGCGTGAATCGACCTTCCAGGACCGGACGGTCTTCGCGTTCCATCCGCATGGCGCCATCAGCTTCGGATTTACCGCCGCGGAGACGAAGCGCCGTTCGCGGGGAGACGCGGCAGCGCGAGTTCACGGGGTTGGTTGGTCCTCACATGTGGAAAGGAGGGATAGGACGTGAGGATGACACATCATCGGTCCAGGTCAGCTCGGCAAAAAACGGTTTGATTTGGGAATTCAGGTCTCGAGTGGTTTCGAGGTTCTTTTGAGAGATGTCCACTGAGCTGGGGGGGCTTCCTGTCAGGTCGCTTGTTCTCGACAGGCAGTTTCCTCTTCAGGACACTCCTATATCAGGACTATCGTGAAGTCGTGTATTTTGGGGAACTGGGATGCGAAGCAATCACCCAGTCACCAGTGCCGGGGTCTGAAGTTTACAGTCTTCATCAGTTTTCTTCCCGTCCCACTGAGGTCAATGGGCTCTTTGATTCGCAGTTCCTCGAGAAGTCTGTCCCGTGGCCGGACAACGGCGGCCGGGGCAGGTGGATAGCTGACTGACATGATTTTCTTTCACTGCTAGGGGCGAGGATGCTACTAGTAGCTCCCGGCCTTGCTACTGGTAGCACGAGGCCATATGGCCTTTTTTCAGAGGCGGCTGGCCTCCAAACGGCGCGATCGAGAGGTTTCTCGAATCGAAAGTAGGCGTCCTGGGCAGGCGTCCTGGGCTTGAACTCCACTGTGGTCGGTGTATCCTTCTTTGAGACCCCCGCGCCCTGTAGGAGCTAGGTGTTTCCTTGCTTGCAGCCTGTGCCCGAACCAAAACTCCATACATACGAACATAGGCCATGGCGGCCATGGGATCCTTGCAGTTGCAGAGACTGCCTAGAGGTTTGAAACCATATTGTATTCCATTCCCATGTGACATGTGTCTGACTTCACTTCTTCCTATTCTTGGCCCACTGTGGGGAAACGGACTCGCTTCCTACGCTTCCTTTGGCTGCTTGACGCTGACACCGGTGGGGGTCCGACACCGGTGGAGTGTGCAGCTGAGTAGGGTGACTAAGGACACAGCTTTGTGTACATAATAGCCGCTGAGTACTCCCTGGGCAAGTTAGGATAGGACTGACATGAAGTAGCCAGCATGTTCTATCAGTGAGGCTGGAAGCAAACACAGATTGCTTGTTTAAGCCAATTCACATGGTCCAGCCAATTCACCTTGCTCTTTCGCACTTGTCCGCCGCCTGAGACAAAGATGACCTTCTTAATTGACGACTTCTTGCGCAATGGCAATCCGATCTTCCGGCTTTTCTGTGATGTGTGCCTTGGTTTCCAGAGTTCAGATGCCTTCAAGATTTTGTTTTGTTGACTGACACGGACACGGGCATGCTAGAAGGCCGCGAATGGGGGCATCCGCAGATGGCCAAGCGCTGCCTAGCTCCATCTCACAACTGGGTGTTTGGTGTGGACGAAATTGTCCAACCCAAACATGCAAGCACTCCATGGTGCGATCACTATGTGGTTCAATGGTCACATGACGCCGTTTCAATTCGTTTCATTGTTGACTTCCAACAGGCACATGGGAGGAGTTGCCTTGTCAAGGCTGGGCTACTCCTGGTTCAAGAAGCTGGTTGTGGGAATGGGCCTTTCAGGCTGCCCAATCGGCAGCTAACCCCATACAGCCCCTTGTAGGGGGTGCCCAAACACGGCCCGGCCACGAACCCCAACATCGGAAGGATGATGCTTCTTTTGTCTACATTGTATGACCTATTCACGAAAGCTAGCGAAGCTAGCTGGAGTTACTCTTGCGATAGCAAGGTTTCTTTCGACCGGGTGCAAATCCTAACCCCTGATTTTTCAGGTCGAAGACCCCCCCCCTACCCCCCCCCCCCCCCCCCTCCCCTCCCCTCCGCCCCTCTCCCCTCTCCCCACCCCACCTCCCCTCTCCTCCTCCTTGTCTTCCTCCCACCTTCCCTCCCTCCCTCCCTCCTCCCTCTTCGCAAGTTCGACTCCGTCCTGTCGTCGCTCTTTGGCATGCGGTTAGCGTTGCGTATCTTGCGGCCGCACTCACTCTCACTGTCTCACTGTCTCACTGTCTCACTGTTTCACTGTCTCACTGACTCACTGTCTCACTGTCTCACTGTCTCACTGTCTCACTGTCTCACTGTCTCTCTCTCTCTCTCATCTCTCATCTCTCTCATCTCTCTCATCTCTCTCATCTCTCTCATCTCTTTCTCATCTCTCTCATCTCTCTCTCCTCTCTCTCTCTCTCTCCTCTCTGTCTCTCGTCTTTCCGTCTCTCTTCTCTCGCAGGAGGATCCGGGCAAAGAGCCACATATAAAGGACTCTTCACCCCTGCCTCCAAAAAGAGCGCCGTGTTTTTTCCTACCTCGCTGCCCTCCACTTTCCCATTCTGGAGCGCTAGCTTTCGCCCCCCCCCCCTTGGCCTCAAGTTACCTACATTGGGGTGGTTGACCCGGGGTCAATTTCCAACTTATTCCATAGATGATGGTTTGCCAATGATTCTCAGGTAGCGCCCAACTGTACATTGACCCGTGTGTTGACACTCAAGGTACAGGACCGAGAGCCGGGAGGCGCGGAACACCAAGCGCAGAGCCAATACCCGAATCTCGTGGGGGCATGTGGACTGAGGGCTTCAGGACCCTGGGATTAGTGACAGGTCTGAATTTTGGATGTGATTCGACCAGATTCAACCATGTCTTCATGGATTCGACTAGATCAGGTGGCAAGTTCATGAGTAAGTTCATGCAAGTTCTAATATATATATATAGTATATAGGTTTGAGTTGACTTTTTTGTATCAGACCGTGCGGCCCCCCGTCCCTGTTGAGATCCTCAGCGCGGACAAGTCCACTGTGCATCGATTGATGGAGGAGGGCGGCAGCGCGCCTCGGATCTTCGTCTTTCGAAGTATTGAACATGAACACTTTTCTTGGATGATTTTGGACCCGGCCTCCGAGAGGTTGCACTCCGATGACGGCATGGTGTAGTTTGAAGATTCGCAGATGACCTCCCATATAGGTTTGAACACCGCAGAAATGGGCGAGTGATTGCAATTCCCGTCCAACGAACGCAACATAGGGGTTTGGTCGGCAAATGTTGGCAAACTGATTTGACGTCTACGGAAAATAAGCCAGAGATTGAAGGGATGTGAGGTGGGAAGTGGTCAATCCGTGGGCGAACGTGGTGCATGTTGGGCCGCCCGTGTCCTTACGAACTCAGATCCCTCCCGGCACCCGTTTGATATTTGGTGCTTTGCTTCGGCCCTTCGGTGCTTGGGATCAAACATGATCATGAAAAAGCTCCCTTTGGGTTACTCTTAGGCCCTTAGCCCCTTTGGTCCATAGAGGATGTATATAATTTTCTGATATGTATATATATAATCCTGTAGTTAGAACTATAACTATTAAGCCCCTCAAAGGTCAGATCGTTAGCAGAAGATCTGTTCGGACAGACAAGATCACACCCACCAAACCACTCCCCCTTAGCACCCGGCTTGAGTGCCAGGAGGGCCTTGGGATGAACACCATATATACCATGCATTCCATGGTTCCATCTCGCTTTCAGGCCACATGGCACCTGCCTTCTCCGTGAAAGGCAAAGAACATTGGAGATCTCGAGGTATTTTCGGGGGGCCTCCCTGACGCAGGAATATGACCCGCAGCTGTGAAAACCACAGGATTCTGATACAGTTCCTGCAGTTCTGCAAAGTTTATGAGCCTTCTCATTGATGCACTATGAATTTGCGTGGAGACTGGGGAAGTCAGCACTTCATTTTCCCACACGCTTGGAGGCAGTCAACACATGTCCACGTCCACATGTCCAAGAGCCCTTCTTGCAGCCCCTTCTCGGCCCGTTCTCACATGTCGAAAGGCCGCTCCACTCAGAAAAAAACATTAAAAAAAGGCAGAAACCATATTGGATACCAACACCTGTTAAAGGGGTCACCTGGCTGGTGTTGCCCCAGCCGCCCCAGCCCACTAGTATCCGGGACCTCCAGAAGGTCGGGCACCCCCCACTCGATCCCCTAAGGTCGCGCTGGTGCTGGGAGGCTTTGAGGAAGCCACGGTCACTTAGCATCCGAGGGATGCCTACTTTGGTGGGGTGAAGTGAACGACGGGGTCCAAGAGTGTCAAAGATAATGAGAGTATTGATGGACACCCTGATATTCTCAGATATTCTCAGATAGACTGAGATTTACAGATAAATGCAAGGTATTTGTTTGTGTGTGTGTTTTGTAAATTATGATCATTGATTATTGTGTTGATTTCCGGTGTTTGGTTTCTCAATGCAATGATGTTGGAGTTCTTTGGCCTGGAAGGGCAGAAAGAGTGGACGATATTGGAAGTATCTAGGGCCCTTTTGCAGGATGAACTTTGATGAAGGCACAATTGTGGTATGCAATACCTGGAACGGATGTGCCGAGTGGCACGACCCAAAGCCAATTGATATCCTGAATATTTGTCCGCATATACAGTATAATTGTGCCAGATGTAGGGTGGAAGACCATTTTCCTCAGGGCTTGTTGAAGCAAACAACCAACGCCCGCAGTGGGACGACCTGGTGGAGACGCCCCCCCGGTCAGCCTGGGGAACCCGCCGGCAGGTCTGCGTCCCTACCGGGTCGACCTGCCCCCAGGTCTGCGAGACAGGGAAGGACCGTGTGGTGGTGAAATCTCGAAAGGGCTTGGTGAAGTACTGCTTGCAGCCCGGAGCCTCAGGGTGAGCCGGGGCTTTGCTGCATGAAGCAGGATGTGCATGAAGCAGGAGATGGTTTGTATACGATGTTGGGGCTTCCAATGTTTTCTGTCATGTTCTGTCAGCCATGTCAGCTACACCAGTTTGCAGGGCTCGTTTTCGGGAATATGGATTGACAACAAAAGCAGTGCCAGGTGCAAGTTCATCCAAGTTCGCGAGAACTTTGAGCGAAGCAGTGGTTCCAATAGCCTGCCTGGAAGATGTAGACATGGATCAATAGATGGGCGGTAGTGTAGACTGCTGATTGGCAATAAACAACCTCCGTTCCAGAATGGTTTTGCATCTCCATACGTGGTGGGTTATGAACCAACAGTCAACACTCTGCTTCGCTAACATCGCAGAGCAAATAGGACAACACCTTCACACTAAGTCAGAGCAAGAACGACGAACTGCACGCTCTTCAAGCGCCCCAGGCATGGGTACAGACTCCAACCAGTGTACTCCTTCGGCGAGGATGAGACGTGCTCGGAGGGGGGCCGCTGCCGGTGGGTGCGAATGTGAAAGAGAACTCATGAGAACTCCATCGCGTCATCGCATCATCCAGGGTGCAACTGGGTGCAACTGCTTTCCTTCCGAGTTGAACATGCACATCAACTCAGGTTCCTGATGGGTGGTCAATTGGCCTGAAAGCCCATGTCCGTTTCTGGAGCTTATGGGCTACACATGGGCTACACCATGGCTTCCTCCGTGCTTTCCGGACCCTACGACCGAACCAAGCGCCGGGTGAACCCCGGTCGAAGCTCCGGACCGAAGGTACCACTTTGCTCAAGGCCTTTTGGATTTCCGCTTGTGGCACCTTGGCAGGACGGACGTGGAGGTCTGTATGAATCTGGGTGACACATGGTGACACATGAAAAATATCTTAGAGTGGTACAGCAAGTGGCACGGCATGGCACAGGATGCCAGCTATGGGGATATGAATCATGTTCCGCCTTGCAGGAGGAACATGTCCTGGACCTCGCAAGGGCTGAAGAGCCGGGTGAAGTATTATACATGATGTAGCCAGAGCGATTGTTTAGATATATGTTTCCAAGACTTCAACTATTTTATATAGACTGTACATGTACACAAGTGTGTATGTTCATTGCATAGCCTTTTGTCCTCGCAGGTTTGTTGCACGCTAGGCCCAGCAGTTTGCAACGTGATGAATCACCAAAATGTTCAAATAACTACTGGTCCGCGACCCTAGAACTGACACCAACATGATACAACAAATCAAAAAAAAAACGCTTTGAAGGTGCGGTCGGTTTCATTGACGACGGCTGGCTCGGTGTAGACCGAAGAGTGAACAATATATATATATAGGAGGAGGAAGCAGGGGAGCCAGAAGAAGGAGAGCTGGCTAGAATCAGGGGCAATAGAATACAATAGGGGCAAGACTAAGAGAGCTATCCCCAGGGGAAGCTCAACAACTTGTCATGACAGCACCAAGGCTGAACCGCTTCAAGATCCCTGCGGCTTCTCGGCGGCATCTTCTGCTCCCTTGGACAAATTATCTTCGATGATGGCGGTGGGCGGGTGCCAAAGAATTCCTCCAACAACAAGAGAATCATTGAGTGAACCAGAGTGCTGTTTACCATCATTTTTGTGGATATGGTCAAAGCTGATTTCAGTATTATATATCCAAGGAGCTCACCCCTGGTGTCTCCATGTGTCTCCAGGGAAGCTGTTGCTTTCTTTTTTGGAGTGCGATTCCGGACAAACCCCATGGCGCCCATGGCGCTCCCCTTTTACTTACCCCTGAGCCCAGATCTTCTTTGCGGCGTACGGACGGTCGCGCCGCGAATTTCGCTCCAGGTGGCCTTCTTTGGCAATCCGATCGTTCCATGGCTTCCTCGAAGTCAGGTGTGGCCCCCGGCGTTGGAGAGTTGAAAACAAATAATGCTGCTCGGATTTTTTCGGGGTTGGCTGGAGCTGATTCATAAGATCGTGACATTTTTTTGCATGGCAAGAGTTGGATTTATACATGCATGCATACAGTTTCTGAAGACCCTAAGGCATCACTTTTCAATAATTCAATATATAGTGTCGCCATGTCATTTGCCTTTGTCAGTTTCAGCTTTGGGGCTTGCAATTGCACCAGATTGTGCTGATTCTCAGCTTAGCCACCTTTACCTACCTGGAAATGTGGTTTCTTTGATGCAGCTAGCAGCTAGTGGAAGTTGGCACCAATCTCAATAGACGGCTTGAGGCAAATCCCTCTCGTAAAACATGGGCGGCGCAAGAAAGAAAAAACAATCATGAACAATCTTTCTGATGGCACCGCAACAATCATTTTGGATGGATCAATGCCGTCCAAATGAATAAATAATCCTGATTCGCGGATACACCTGTTTCGCATCTGATCGCCTGATCATTGGCTTGACCACTTCCGTCGACGCGTTTTTCACCCACCGGGTGGGATCCGGGCAGGCACGCATCTTCACAGTGGTGGGCGAAGCCATTCAGCAGCTGGGACGATGTACAGTAGGAAGCAATGGGGAAGCGAATGTGAAGGTCAGAAGGGTCAATTCTCAATGTTCGTCACACTGCCAAGCGTGCAGTTGCTTGGTGCGGCTTTATTACATCATATAGCCAGCACATTCTACCACATCATTCAGGGCTTGTATCATGAACCATGGTGAATCACAACATGCATACTGAACACAAGACCTGCACGGCTCAGAGCTGCTGCACAGCAACGCCGACGCATTCACCAGTTCACAATCGACCAGGTCCTTTGGTTTTTCCAGGATCGTATGGAGTTCAGTCTCTGAGTCAACGTTGGAAGCCATGGACCCGAAACACCCGTTTGAGGCCAACCAACCAACCACCCACCCAACCACCCACCCAACCAACCAACCACCCACCCAACCACCCACCCAACCAACCAACCACCCACCTAACAAACCACCCACCCAACCAACCACCCACCTAACAAGCCACCCACCCAACCAACCAACCAACCACCCAACCACCCACCCACCCAACCAACCAACCAACCACCCAACCACCCACC